TCGATCCCCCAGCACCACATGCCAGCCAGCCCCGCCCCCTGGTGGGCTGAGCTGGCCACACACACAATAAATAAATAAATAAATAAATAAATGTTTAAAAAAAAGAAAGAAAGTTCCTGGGATCGGAGGGTAGATCAAAGGGTTACCCATATGTAAAGAGTCAACAAACCAAGCTAGTGAGCAGCTGTCCTTGGACTCTGGGAAGCTGAAGCAGGAGGATCTCAAGTTCAAGCTCAGCCTTGGAATTTAGTGACTTAGAGAACCCATCTCAGAATAAGAAAAGGCTAGGGATCCCAAGCTGTTGGCTGAGCCCAGAGGCAGGACCACTCCCAGCCCCGAGGAGCCCCCCCTCCCTGTGGCACTCTCTTGGGCAGAACATCCTGTCTCCTATGCCTGTGGTTTGCCCATGGCTGAGTTTCAACAGCCCTGGCTGGCATCTGCCACACCGGTCTGCATCTGGGACCCCAGCTCCTAGGTCCTTCTCCAAACTTCCTCTGAATTGTCCTTACTCAAGAGTCCGGAAAAAAACTGTTTGGGTATTTTTTTGGGGGGGGTCTTTCTTTTTATGTTTGTTTTGGGGGACTAGAACCCAGGGCTTTGTACATGCTGGGCAAGTGCTCACCACTAAGCCACACCTCCAGCCCTTTTTGAATTTTATTTTGAGACAGGCTGGCTACGTTTCTCAGGCTGGCCTTGAACTTGCAATCCTCCCTCCTCTGCCTACTGAGTAGCTGGAATGACCGGTGTGTGGCTCCACACGCAGCCATCCGTCCTGTCCCTGAACTCACCCTGCTTCCACCAGCAAACCTCATTATCCCTGCTCCTGTCCCTACTCCTGATACTGTCATCTAACATCCCTGTGGATCTCAGGATCCAGCCCCTCCTGCAAGCTTGGTTCTCAGTCTCCTGCTTGCTTTTTTTTTTTTTTTTTTTTTTTTTTGTGGAACCGGGGATTGAACTCAGGCACTTGCGCTTGACAGGGAAGCACTTATTTCCCCGGCCCCACCAGTTGCAGTTTTTCCTCCTCCGTGGCCAGTTGAGATTTTAAAAGACCTGGAGAAGACATACGCCTGGGCATTCTCGCTCCCGCTTCACTCGGCGCGGCTGCCACCAGGTGGCAGCAGAGGAGCCCAGGCTGGAAGGAGCCTTCCAAAGCCCGAGACCCTGGAGCAAG